GCACCATCTGCTGGCAACAGGAAATGACATGTTTTACACTGTAACAAACTCCTCCTGGAAATTTTATCAGATTTAATCCAAGTTTTGTCTGTATAATCCAAAGGTCTTTGTGATGTTAAATTGTGAAGATCTAGAGTTTTTGCAGACTGACAAAGTTCAGTGTTTCGCCATGAAGGAGGAAGTACTTATAACAGCCAAACAATAGCTGCGTCCCAAATGGCACACTATTCACTATGCACTCATGCACTATGTACTTATGCACTTACATACTCAACAGCATAGTACATGTATGTAGTGGCGTCCCAAATGGAACACTAATGTTTTTTTACTAAGCGGAAATTCAAACCGTTTCCCTGATGAGGTTTGACGGTTGCCAAATCAATGAAATAAACGACCGAATTTTCAAATAATACCTGCCGTGAGTATAACCACATTCACCATCGGGAGGTGCTATAATCACTCTGGTAGGGAAATTTTGCTTTCACCATCCAAAATAAATAAAGTTATCCAACTGGTGCATCCGATAGCTCCGCCCCTTCCGCTACGTAAGCAGACCTGCGGTCGTTGAGTGCGTGAAGTGTCCATCATTACACTTAATTTTACCGGCTGAATAAGTGCATCATCCGGGTAATTAAAATGCTCTTATTATTGTTAGAGTTTTCACTGTGAACACACTACTTACACTATTTATACTACAAAATGGCATAGAATAGTGCATAAGTATGCGATTTGGGACACAGCTACTGTCTGATCTGCCTGAAAACTCACAGGTTTGATGAGATTCCTTTCCTGAAGACATCTTCATGCCAATACTGAGTCACATTCATAGCGTAACCTGTTGACAGAAGGAAGTTTGGCATAAATCTGTGATTTTTTTTCAGGTTATTTTTTATTTATATCAGCTTAAATTATTATTGTCCACTGTTCTCTGTCATCCTAAGGCCACTAGTCGTTGGTGAGCCCAGGTGCGAGGTCCCTTTCATCGCTGCTTGCAGCTTTAATCCTTCTTTTTTGTTCAAAAGAAGAAAGAATAATTTTGAGGGTGAACTATACTATCAAAAAATCCCATGTATAGTATCAATCAACTTTCAAAGTGTCCTTCGCCATTATCAAAGCACAGATCGGATTCTTCTCTATGCCAATTTTACTGGAGAACAAAGTAATCTCTGCCAAAGAACAGGTAAATTAACACAATTAAGCCTAATGAAGGCTGTGCATTATGCAGAAATATTCTTCATTTCAAAGGTAGTTTGATTCAGTGGCTTCAAGTGTATAGACTTACATATCCCATGTATTAAAGCCTCTCCGTGAGTCTGACTAATGTGTTATTAAAACTGCACAGGCTAATGCAGAAAAATAGACCATTCTCAGGAAGAAAGTGCTCACTTAACCCTGGGTTCCCTCAATATTTCCTGATGGAAGGCAAATTCAATAGAGCAGCAGCGAGTCGCTCAATGCCTGCTTCTAATGCGAATGCTCTTGTCTTTCTAGAACACAGATTCAGCCCTCCTGCCCTGCATCAGTTACCCAGCGTTCGCTGTGGACGATGATGCTCTGTATTCCCAGACTTTGGACAAGATAGTCCGCAAGCTGAAGGGCAAGTATGGCTTTAAGCGATTCTTAAGAGACGGCTTCAGAACAGCCAATGAGGACAAGAACCGCAGGCACTATAAACCTGCTGAGATGAAGGTGAGTGTGGTTTACGTACCTGTTGAAATTAAAACTGGCTCATAGCAAAAATTAAAACAGAATATTTCTTCACATTTGAGAAGAGTTATTATGACTAGCCTCAGGTTTAGACAATTTATTTGAGAAACAAAGATTTTTCTATAAAGGTAAGCGACAGATCTAATAAATGGCGTTTTCATGTGCCTCTTTTTAATCTGGTGCAGATTTGCTTATTTATCCATCTCTCAGGAGAATGCGAGGGCTGCGGGTAAATCCCATTTGATTGGGTTGAACAGTGAGGATATTAACTCCAGAATTAGCCTGGGAACACGCTGAGTCTGAATCTGAAATCTGAAAGGGGAAGATTTATCCTGCAGCAAATCATTCCATCAGCAGCAAGAGCTGACCTCCTACAATGAACAAGCCCGTAGAGAGAAATGAGAAATAACATTCCTCAAATTATCCATCATTGCAGTTCATTTACCTGATTTCTCCATCCACACCCAACAAGAAGTACCATGGTATTCTGGTGCATTTTGAAATTCAGATACCATGGCGGCACCAAGCTGTTCTTTATTTATACTGTAGGGCATTCCCCAGTGTCAACCAATTGTCATTCAAGTCATTAGTCGACTAATCACACATTTATGATGTTCGTTTAATTGCTTAAGTATATGTTGGGAGAAAGTGCTGTCTCAGGGCTGAGAAATAATGATGTTTGTAAAAATTTTTCCACATTACAGAGAAAATTTGAACCATAATGATTTGCATTTAAAATAAATTAAGTGTTGAAGCACATGCATAAAATCAGCTGAGGCAGTACTGGCAAATGTTGTGATTATGAATGTGTGCGGGAAATAAACTGCAAGGAGACTGCATTAATATTTTAATAATTTCAAAGAATGAACTCAAAGCAAAACAAGAATTATATGCAATTACATCACAATCTATGTGTGCGCCAACACGATAACTTAAAACACATTTTGGTTTAAATAATAATAATAATAATAATAATAATAAAAACAAGCTAAACATATCACAAATATTTTTGTTTCTCTTTAAAATGGGCACCAAGAAGAATAATCCATAACTTATTTGCATAATGCAACACTTATTAATATAAAAAAGAATAACGGTCATAATAACCACACCACCTGACAAGTATCCAAGTTTTAGGAACAACAAATAATTACTTGACTTCTAGTAAATCATTTGGTATCCGAAGTGGCTTATAAGAAAGGCAAAGGCCTCTAAATTACACTTATTTTACCAAAATACAAATATGATCAATATTTAATTATTTAATTAGGACAGCAAGGTCTGACTCTGCTTAGACAAAAGTCTTGTCACTTAACAGAAATAATTTCCAGTATAGAAAATAAAGTCATGGTGCAGTGGAAAAAGAATTCATATTGTGTATGACCCATGAGGTTGGACGACTGCATTCATACATCTCTGCAGTGACTCAAATAACTTATTAATAAAGTCATCTGGAATGGCAAAGAAATCGTTCTTGCAGGACTCCCAGAGTTCATCAAGCTTCTTTGGATTTATCTTTAATGCCTCCTCCTTCATCTTACCCCAGACATGCTTAATAATGTTCATGTCATGTGACTGGGCTAGCCAATCCAGGACCACCTTGACCTTCTTTGCTTTTAGGAACTTTGATGTGGAGGCTGAAGTATGAGAAGAAGCGTTATCCTGCTGAAGAATTAGCCCTCTCCTGTAGTTTGTAATGTAATGGGCAGCACAAATGTCTTGATACCTCAGGCTGTTGATGTTTCCATCCACTCTGCTGATCTGTCACATGCCCCCATATTGAATGTAACCCCAAATCATGATTTTTCCTTCACCAAACTTGACTGACTTCTGTGAGTATCATGGCTCTATGCAGATTCCAATAGTTTCTCTGCAGTATTTGTGATGATTGGGAGGCAGTTTAACAGATGATTCATCAGAAAAAAATTACCTTCTGACACTTTTTCAAATGATCAGCTAGAAGTCAAGTTATCATGTGTTACTCTTACAACTGGGATTGACGACAAGACTTTTGTCAGGTAGTGTATATGTTTCTATAAAACTGCATGACAGCTGTTTGGTGCTAAAATTAATAAAAGAAATAGTCTAAAATTAGGTATTCCTTAAAATATATATTCTTTAAATTATATTCATTTATTAATTTTCTTGTCGGTTTAGTCCCTTTATTAATCTGAGGTCGCCACAGCGGAATGAACTCCCAACTTTTATTTTTACGCAGCGGATGCCCTTCTAGCCGCAACTCATCTTTGGGAAATCTTTAAATAAATATATATATATATATATATATATATATATATATATATATATATATATATATATATATATTTTTTTTTTTTTTTTTTTTAATAGACTAAAATATTTGAAAAATTGGTTTCAGTGAGCAGATTCTATGCATATAAGTATAGCCTATGTATTATTTAGATATGAATAAATAAAATGTAGCAACAAATTGGAAAAAAAATATATTTTTCAAAACAGCCACTTTCAATATGTTGGAAAGGCTGCTGCAATCAATAAATGCTGCTTAGTTTATGTTTTTATCATAGAATCGCTCATAAAAACTAAACCTAAATAATCGAAAGTAAAAATCTGAAGTAAAGTCTAGAATCTAAAGCAGCATCTCAATACAGAGTAGCAATATTTACTGAGAAACAACTAAGGGTATTAGAATTAGTGATGGAGGATTTTTTGAGGAGACATAGATATAAGAATAGAGGGTCTCATTTGATGTAACATTTTAGCTTACCTATTTTTAGCTGAACACCATCGTCACCTCCTTCATTGTCCCAAATTTATAAATGGTCCTGTCATACAAATGAAAGAAATCCACACTTAAGGTTACGTCCATGTTGACTAAAGTTCAATTTTGCTGTTCACTAAACCAATGGCAGGCTTGTTACAATATGGTGATGACAGCTAATGACTTTTAGGAATGGCAGATCAATGCTTTTGATTACAATTGGATATGTATGCAGAAAGAAGGCACATTTCAATTTGCATAACTGCAGGCTTTTTTTTTTTTTTTTTTTTTTTGGAGGCTGATCAGTATTGAAAATATAAAAATCAGCCAACAGACTGTTGTGATAGAAGCTCATTTGGATGTTTTCCCCTAAACAGGACTGATACCATGTACTGTCCAGCACAGTCTACTATATTTACTTAATTTTTAAAAATGATATGATTAAATGAGCAGCCAATGTATTGACTTTTTCTTTTCTTTTTTTATGAATAATTAAAAGTGCAATCAAATGAATATATGTGTGTCTAGCTAATTAATAATACTTTAGTAAAAATCAATGACATTGCTGGTGAAAAACAAGCCAATCTGAACAAAACACAGACTCTGATGATCTATGTGAGATTATTAATTTGCACACCACAGGCTGCGGCACAACATTTCTTTTTGAGATTACAACAATTATATTTTTAGGTTTATCTAATCTTGCATTACACTTACAATGCATGTAAATTACAAAAATAAATAACTAAATAGGAGTTAATTAACAAGAAATTAAATAAACAGATTTTTAAAAATGAAACGACCGAAAATTAAGAACTGAAACCAGCTTTAATGTTCGCAAATAAAACGTGTTGTGGTAATGCAGAATCATTAGTCATTTGAGACAGCACACTTTATAATGGCTCTAGCGAATCTGCAAAACTGTGTTTAAAGTGAAACTATTTCTCTTATTAGAAAACAATAAACACGATTTTAGCAATTATGAACAAAACTTGGAGAAGTTGAGTCTAGCATTGAGTCCTCCGCCTTCAGAACTGGCCACTACTGAAAATTAGGCTGCCACTTACTGGTAATGTATTTCCTCAGTCAGAGAATTTCCCTAAGTGTTGTGGCTAACCGCGGCTAGTCATTGAATTCTGTTCCCTGAGACACGGGGCGCATTTCTAAAGGCCACATTTGTATATTGTGAAACTTGTCACTTATGTTTGTAATGCAGCAACAAACACATGTAGATGCTGTGTGTGTGTTTCTGTGTGAGAGAGAGCAGGCACTGGCACAGGTGGTGGAGCATCAGAGCAGAGCTTGTTAATATTCACAACCATTCCAAATATGGTCAAAACTGAGCTTTTCAATCTGTGGTTATAAAAAAAAATTCTGGAGAATTGAACTTACCTAAGCCAAATACTTACTGATATCAGAGAACATCTCCATGTTATTGACCAGTCACGCTCAAAAAAGAGCCTTTCTGCATGGCTGGAGTTTCCATTCTATTAAATCTATAACCAAGTTATGATGGCAGAGGATTTCAAGCCTGGATGTCTCATAGTGACTGAATGTCCTCTGGTAAATGATATTGTCTTACTAAGTAATTGTGCTAAGTGAAGTCAAAGCCCTATGAGACAATTCGCTGTTTACTGTGAGTAGGCCTCCATGTCTGCTCTTTCTCACCCAGAAGATGTTCATTTAATATGTGTGCCTCATCCAGCTCTCTGACTGCACTTCTCTCTGACTCTCCAGGGGGTTATAGAAACTGATATTGAGAGGGGAAACAAAAAAAAAAACAACACTAGATTTTATTTTTAGGCTTTCAGGGTTTAATATAAGCCTGTTGGTGCAACTGGTGATAAGATTTCACTTATAGTCTTGAAATATTGTCCTTTGAATCAAATGTTTGTTTTTTTTCTCGGTCAGTTAGAGAGTAGAATAATGTAGCTATATCTTCTCAGTTTTAGATGCTGACTATACACAAACCCATATTACCCTGAAACAGCTTATTTGCGATATGCCAGTGATGTGAGACCAGTCCAATTAACAGCCTTTATTTCATTACATCCTAATCTCCCGTTCTGATCTCCTAATGCCACGCCGATTGTCTTCCGAGATCGCTGGCGGAGATAGAGAGGTCTTAATTACATTTGGGGAAAGGTTGAGAGACATTTTGTTCCTCGTCAGCCATCAAAGTGTGCGTTAGATTTGTGCACCTCTTAAGCAGCTCACAAGATTTGTATTTTCAAAAGAGAGATTTGAATGGAGGCTGTCATATTATTGGCAGCAACGCAAAGAGGATCACAGAATTGTATTACCAACGTTTCATGCCATGAATGGGGAGAATATTGTAAACGCGTGAGCTTATTATAAGCTTCATAAGTTTTAATTGCAGCCTGGAAAGTGGGTTGCTAAATGTGGTGTGGTTTTTATTCGATGAAATGGCATCCGAATGCTCCATAGGCCCACACTAAATTGTTTATGGTAATCCCTATTTATTTGGTTTGATATTGATATAAATGTTACGTTTCTGATGGATTACTTCCATAGTAAACTCCGTCTGCCCACACACGAAGCTCTAATTTCAGATTCATGTTTGAAAAGTAATGCTGGCAGTGTTTTACGGAGCATCTGTAGGCACTTAAATGTTGACTTATACTTTTAAATGAATGCGATTAAAACGAGCCGCAGTCTCATAATTTGAATTAATCATTGCTTTTTCACACTCGCAAACCATCTCTACATCTGAGTTGATTTTAATTTCAAACCCAAGTGATTCATGGCTCGGCTCTAGGGAAAGAGAGACGAAGCACTATGGCTTTTTAATGGAGTTTCTGCATGACTGCTGTACTTTACTTCAACATAATTGTTTTCTGTTTTTCTGAACTGTCGTAAGTTGAAAACAGAGGTTGTCTGACATTACCTTTGTCATTTGAAGGGCTTATGTTTTATGTATTTGCATTTTGGTACAGGTAACATGTGTAAATATATACTAGTCATTTAAATGTGTGTATAATTTTCATTCTCACAACCACATTATGCTAATAACACAGATTTACTGTAGGAATACATGTCAGTGTTTCCCAACTCTGTTCCTGAAGGCACACTAACAGTACATATTTTCAATGTCTTCCTTATCAAACTCATCTGAATCAACTCATCAGACCATCAGACTCCAAAACCTGAAATGAATGGGTCAGATAAGGGAGACATCCAAAATATGTGTACTGCTGGTGTGCCTCTAGGAACATGGATGGGGAAACACTGCATTAAACAAAAGCATTTCTAAACATTTAATTATATTTGAGTTATTACTGTGTATGAACAGTTTCTGTTATTACTCATGTCTTATTCTTTTCCCTGTTGTTTTTCAGCTCTTTGACGGTATTGAGTGCGAGTTTCCAATTTTTTACATCTATATGATGATTGATGGTAAGAGTCATGCATATTAGTTGAATATAATGAATTTTATTTAATTTCATTAAGTGATGTACTTGTTATATGAGTCTTCTTGAGGTACCAAACTCTGCTCTAAATATGTATATATTTCTTTATTTTTTTATTTTTTCCAAAGAATTTTAACCTATTAACAGTTTTTTAATTAAATTTAGTTTTTTAATTTACAGTTTTGTTTTATTTATTTTTTGAATAAAAGATTTGTTTTGCTTTTGACTCTATTTTGAAAAAAAAAATGACAAACAATGCAGCATAAACCTAGTTACATTTTTATTGTGGTGAATATGGTATAGCTAACCAATTACCTTTTTTTTACCATGACATTTTTACTGGTTTTAGAAATTACAGTGTTTCATATACATGCTGAGTTCATTTGTAAATGTCCTGTTTTTGAGTAGCATTATAGTCCCTTTAAGTGATTTTACTCGCTGGCCATCTTTAAAATGTCTCTTGGGCAGTATGCTCAGGCATTCTGTCTGATTGGGGAAACATTAAATTCTCCAAAACTGTTTGCAAAGCTTAAGATTACTTTACATATTTGGAATCATCAATTAAATTAAACATCAACTGACTCAAAAGTTGGCTTCATAAGTATTTTCCAGCTTGCCCGAGTTAATACTCATGCGAAAGGAACAAGATTACGAAACCAACTTTATTTATGGCCATTTTAGGCCGTACTCACCCTAGGTAAGGTACAGTTGTCTCGAACCGGGCCAAAGCACGCTCGTCCCCCCTCCTGTCTCCCCCGACGGCCCGCACTCACACCACAAATGGGCCTCGGCATGCTTACGTCATCGCTGCTGCGCTGTTCAGTGAGAAGTGCTCTCTCACTCAGCAGCACAGTGGAGATTTCTCTAGTTATATCGTTTCAGTCGTTTGATATGCAGTGACATGCTGTCAAATATTTCGCCAAACAGTCCTTAGGGATGCGGTGACACGCAGTCAGATATTTCGACAAACAGATCAGCCACTTTTGGCGCTCAAAAACAATCATAATGCTCTCGTGCTGCAGGAATGAGGAGGTCTGCTGAAGCCGCGCAGCTGTCGTGCTGTGAGGAGTTCTCATCTTTAATAAACTACGGTAGTTTGCGTTCGCTGAACCAGTAAGATTGATTAATAAATCCATATGAAACAGCCCCTTAAAAGTCACATCTCGCTTTCAGTTTTGGGCTTTGGCGCGTTTTGCACTCACACACAAGCGTACCACACCAAAACCCAAGTAAACCGCGCTCAGGCACACCTCTTTCAACCGGGCCAGGGCCAGCCAAGTGAACCGTGCTTGAGCCCGATTCAGCGCACTCACACTTCTCAAACGATCCGGGAAATGGGCCTGGGCATGGTACAGATGGCATAGTGTGAGTAGGCCCTTACACATTATCATAATGCTTTGTCAGATCTCGCTGGTCTCCTGAAGTAATTTACAACTCAATAGGTAAATCTTCTTTAGCGACTCCTTGTTTACTAGTTTGCGGGCGTTTGAGTTGTTGCTGTCATGCGATGTGTGTAGGACAGACTGTACCTCACGTTTTTTTCATACAGATTAGAAAAAACCCTTTTGTTTTTAAGTGTAACTGGTTAATTCAAAAGATTTTAAGCTTTATGTGGATATATTTATTATGTCTGTGAAGCAAGTATTCACTGATATTACAGTGTGTTTGTTTGGCCACATAAACTGTAGTAAAAAAAAAAAAAGCACAAGTCTGGTCCAAGCTTCTCCCCTGGACAAACATTAGCTATATAACAAACGATGATTGGCTCCTATAGTAGAAGGCGGAGCTTCATTCGCCAGATTGACTATAAAACTTTTTTCTATTCAACACTATACAATTGACATGTCTTGTCTATTCTGTAGTCTTTGACAGATTTCCTGTAGGAGGGCGGTGTAATTTTTTGTAATTTTCCTTTCCATTCAGGTGTGTTCAGAGGAAACCCCGATCAAGTCAAAGAGTACCAGGAGCTGCTACAAGCTGTCATTTTCCAGTCCTTTGAGGGTAACTTACACAAACAGATACATGCATATGAGCATTTTTTTTGGACAAACTGCCAACGCTTGTCATACAGTGATGGTTCTGCTTTGCCAGCCAGTGTCCTCCAGCCCCTGCCAATGACTGTTATTTTCCCATTACTCTTTATTAGAGTGGCCCTTTCGTATTCATCTCTCCCACACTGCATGATTTCCTCAGACGCGTCTCAGTCAAGTGCACAACAGAGGAGATGCTCATTATTTAAACAGACCAGAACACCGTTGTTTCCCCACAGGCAGATTTAAAAAATAAATAAATAAATAAAGATACTAAATAAATAAAAAACTGCTTTCATGCTGTTTGACAGTCCTTCAGACCCACTACCCTTCAGAAGTAGAACCATAATAAGCAACATAATAACTCGCTCAGCTCATTTCATTTGCTTACAGTGAGCCTCACCAATACAAATAAGAGCTTAGTTTAGTCGTCTAAATTAGGCTTGTCAGAAAAGGTGAAAATATGGTTAGGCTGGATATTGCTGACAGCCAGTTTGCTAAATTCAAGATACAGCACATCCAACAAATGGGAGTGGCAGTAAAATAAAAAGCATTTTTGCTGAATACTGAATATTTTATATTCCAGACAAAATGTGGCCAGTTAGTTCTTTTGTTTATTTTATGACAAACAAAGAAAATAAATTCCAAAGGCCTATTAGTTTACAACACTGCACAAAGGGATTGTAAGAATGTATTCATGTTTAATAAAATTTGTTATGTGCACCCATTGAAATATGATGTGTTTGTTTTGTTGGGAATGAAGATTAACAGTTAATATAAAAGTCTGGTGTGTCAGATGAATGAAACACTCAGAGTCGGAGATGAAGAAAATTTACTGATGATAGTTTGCCGTTTCATGGCAGGAGGGCTTCATGCTGTTGCAGAGCTCGCTGGCTGGACTTCTGACTTAAAGTAACATCAACACAGCAATTATACTCTTTACACAAAACCAGAAATGGTGTCAACTCCGGTAAAAGGTTCTGATTGTTTTAAGCAAAGATAGACAATTCTTAATAGCTACGTCAATGCGGAGTCCAGATAGGGATGAAGTGAGAAGGTTTGGGTCAGGTCCATAGACTGTGAAACAGGGGTGCTCAACCCTGTTCCAGGAGATCTACCTTCCTACAGAGTTTAGCTCCAACCCCGATCAAACACAACTGAACCAATTAATTAGGACCTGAACAGCACTTGATAATTATGAACAGGTGTGTTTGATAAGGGTTGCAACTGAAATCTGCAGGAAGGTAGATCTCCAGGAACAGGGTTGAGCACCCCTGTAGGAAAAGATATGGACGTAGTATATTTAATGTCACAAATAGGTTTGTAAATAGCGCAAATGAAACTACAAGTTGGTGTGGTCAACTGTTGCCATTTTTTTCATGCATCATCTCGCCGGGGGTTACCAAAAATGGGCAAAGAAGCGGAACGCAAGTAAAACTACAAACACCTGCTAGCATTTTGCTTAGATGAAGCTTTCTTTGGGAGAAACACTTAATACTTCATTACCTTTGATTTGTTTGTGTTCTGACCACATGTGCTTGGTTGTGTACTAAAACAATAAAGTGTTTAGTCTTTTAAAAACACTGTTGTAATACATTGAGCCACTAAGCATTACTTTTTATGACGTTTTTCTACTTGAGGAAAACGCTAATTACTTTCAAATACTTTAAATAAAGTCTACATTTGTAAATGCAAGGCTGTTTATGAAATCTAGGCATAACACTGTATGACAACGTTTCAGATGACAGCTTAGCCTACAGCTAATCAATCTGTCAGATTCTGGAGTGCATTACAGGTCTAAAGAAAATTTTAAATGCTAAATTATCTTAAATAAAACAAATACATTTATAGAGATGGTATAGAAGTATGCAATTTCACTCTTCTGGGAAATGAAGACTACATGAATGGTTTGTGAGCACAATTAAGTGCACAGCATATTATATTATCTGATTGTAGGAAATAATTCCAAAAGGCAATTGACTGTGTAAAGCCACATAAAACAATCAAAAATATGATGTATATGCCAAGTTCAGTGGCTAATCAGGTGACATGGTGACCACTTATTATGCTGTCACTCAAGTGGCCACACCTTTAATTATGCAGACTTAGTATAAAAGAAATGGATGAGTTCTAAAAAAATAAATAAATTCACCACCTCACAGTTGCATATACACCAAAATCGTTTTTTTGTACCAGGCTGTAAACACCTTTTTTTCTGCTGTAAAGGTATGCCATTTCAACATTAGGGTCTATAGAAATGTGCTCTATTATGAAGCTGGTATAATCAGCATTCTGTCTGCTATATTCTTACTACAGACAGTATATCTTGCATTAAAATGAAATCACTTTAAACAGAGGTAATGCATAAAAATAGCAAAATCAATTTAGACAGTATTAACACATAGCAATAACAATAGGAACATGTGTTTACAGTCATCAGGCCCTACAGTTCTACTCAAGAGGTCTCAATGACCTGTGACCTGATTTGGTGAGTTTGGAGCTGAGTTTTGACAGACAGGGAGAAGAACAAAGATACCGAACATTCCTAAATTAGGCAATGTTTTAACTTTATTCATTAGTCACAATCATTTCAAAGATTAAATACTGATTTAAATAATTATATAAATAAAGTAATGAGAAAATGGAAAATAAGAAAAAGGATCATTTAATCCTTGCTGAGATGGATTTGAAAACAGAAATCCGACCTCATCCATTTATTTAAAAAAATCACAAAAAGTTTAATATTGTGTTAATAGTTTTACAATAAAAAAGAAAAAAAACGTGTATATATATATATATATATATATATATATATATATATATATATATATATATATATATATATATATATATATATATAAATAATTTTTTTATAAAGGTAAAGGTGCATTTTTTTGCTGTGATTTCTCAAATCATTCTTATTTGTTTCTTGGGAAAAATTTAATTATTATTATTATTATTATTATTATTATTAGGTCAAATTATTATTATTTTTTATTTTTTTTTAAATGCATCATACTGAATAAAAGTTCCTTATTCTTTTAAACAGTAGTGCATATTATTTAGCATAGCAGTGACTGTGTGGCTGCACAAAATCTAACCTCTTTAAATGTTGTCTAATTTGATACTCTACAGGCCACGCAGTTATTCCTAAGTATTATCATGTGCCGGCGGACTTTGTGGAAGCTGAACAGAAGAAACACGGCAGCCAGAAGCGCTTCCCCAGCAACTCAGGCCGTGATGGGATGCTGTTCCTCTGGGGACAGGCCCTCTATAACATCGCTAAGCTGCTGGGTGAGTTTCAGATCCATCTGGAGCCCGGGGTCAGGGCTGCTTCACACAACAAAGACTCCCACTAAAAGAGTTTACACAGATATTCTTTTATTTATTCATGCAGCAGCTTCATGCCATATGCTCACGCTACTCCAAAGGAAAGAGAGTTAAATCTACTTTAAGAGAACTAAAAGAGACCCTCTTTAGGATAAATTGTTGTATAAATTAAATACTGAGACTGTGTTAAAGAGCTCCAATTATGATGTTTTAAAGGTTTTGTTTTGTAAATCTTCTTTAATTGATTATTGCGAGTTCAGACTGCACTTTCAACATTTTTAAAGTAGTCACGTCACAGATGTTTTCACACTACATGACTATCTGGCTTAGCGTTTCGTTGCTGCTGTGTTTACACTGCAAGAGGGATCGGCGACAGGGGTTTTACAATAGGAGAATTGCTGATAACTTTGTCTCGATCCACAAACTACATCTCACAACCAAACACATGTGAGAAGTGCAATAAAAACAATGCAAGGTCACATAGTAAATATTTTGTTATTGACTAAAGAATGAAAAAGAAGCCTTTAGTGGGGTAGAAAATGTACTTAGTTTGCTCACCTACTCTTTGATAGGAATTTGAAATTTCTTTTCAACTTTTTTTTTTTTTTTTTTTTTTTTTTTTTTTTTTTAGACCTGGTTGTGGTATTGCTCAGAAGACATGTCAAACATACACAGGTGCTCCATGCCAAATTTCCACTCGTTTTTTTTCTCCATTTCTTGGGTCCAAATATATCCATAATTAGCCTTTTAACTTCTTCCCCTACCTCCCGCTGGCCTACAGATACCCAAACTAGTGAATGCTGCTCTCTCATTGGCTGTAGGTAATTGATTCTCTCAGATTGCATCTTTGATAGTTCACACTGTGTGATTTCTCAAAACCTGTTGAGTCAAAATCAGGGTTAAAATCATTCAGTCTGAACTTGGAACAAGGTCGCTTTCACACCTGTAGATTGTTTTGTTCTTAAATTGATTTCAATTGTTACAATGTTGCTTTTTTCTAAACACGCCAAAAATTCTCTTTACCTTGGTTAGAGATTCATGGTTTATGTTGCAGGATTCTCCTGAGCTGTCATACTTCAGTATTTCAGTTTAGGGCAATTGAGCAATAAGACATTAAATGCGATAAGGTGCATTTTTAATTTTGAATAGTGGCACCCAGAGATGTTGTCACCAAGGATAAATCAGAGGAAAGACTTTCTCATACATAGCCTCATTTCAGTTGTCGAGTTGTAATCTATTTAGTCTATCTATTGAATCTGTCAATCTATTGCTGGTCATTTTCAAATTAAAATAAGACATTAAAGAACTTTTTTGTTTGAATTATTAATTGTGGCCTTAAAAAATGTGGATGCCCTTTCGGCCGCAACCCATCTCTAAGAAAAGGATTTACATAATGAAGAAAATTAAAAGATGAAATATGAAAAAAAAAGTTTTTCATTGTTTGGTTAGACAGCATCTTTTCACTTTCGTAGTCAACATGAAAGGTACTTTTACCGGTGGGAATGACATCTTGCCTCACTCATCATTCTCTCCTTGAATAGCCATACATATATATAGCTATTACATTACCATAATACACTGTAATATAGCCTGGTTTGTTAGTGGGTTGGATCGTATTGCTTTCTCACTAGAACCAAACCGCCCCAGAGTTTGTTTCAACCGAGCCAAGACCACCTCAGTTAAGCAGTCTCAGACGGATTGTTTTGGAGTAGATGAGAGTGTGATTGAGGTGTTTACATAGGCTCAAATGAATGAAGCTAATAGGGAAAATACACGAAGTTCAGAAAAAAAATGTCCAGGTTTGAAAGCATTATCAGACTTATCCCAGGTGGAATTAATTAAATAAATAAATAATAATAACACTTCTGTTTTCCTATACATTCCACATCAGCTTTTTTTCTTCTATCTCAAACAATTCACCCTTTCTTTAGCCTACTTTGGTTAGATGAACCAATCACTTTAAAATAAAGTGTTGAAAATTACAATTGTGATCATTATTTAATCGTTTTTATTTAAGTTCATGTCCTTTCCAGTCGCTTTGATTTTATTTCTTCTGTGAAGCCCCAAAAGGCAATATTTTTCAAAACTCTTTTTCCTTCATGCGTTGAAAGCAACAAAAAAACAGTATGTGTGACTTGTGCAGCATTCCTCAAAGTCTTCTGAAGTCGTTTTTGTGAGCAACAGTCAGAAAATGGAAGTCATTATTCATTAATCTTCTCCTCCTCCTCTACCATAGCTCTTGACAGATCTGCCCATGTCAGGTTTGATTTTCAGCAAATACTATTTTAAGTCTAATAACAATCTTTATTAACTGTTCATGTTTTTTTTTTTTTCTCAAATATTGTATTTTTAGCCATATTAACATCATGCGCACACACAGAATGATTCATACAGTAGACAGTGATTCATGTGTATTCACTGCAGCAAAATGCAGACCAGCAGAGAATGGTAATAATCCACAGGAAAGGCTTGTTTTGGAAATTGAAAACCTTGTTGAATTAAAAATGCAGTGATTTGTTTTCGAGCTCATGTTGTGCCGAACAAAAAAACAACAACAAAACAACACCAGTTATTTCTGTTCTGTGTTTGCCTTACAGTGGATGGTTTGATCAGCCCAAAGGACATCGACCCCATCCATCGCTATGTGCCACGACAGGATCAGAGGAACGTCAGCATGCGATACTCCAATCAGGTGAGTCTCTCTCTTCCTCCAGCTATATGAATGCACAATGTATCCTGTAAACATACATGTGAATGGCCTGTGTGTTTGTTCTCTCAGAGCCTCATACATAATTTGTTTCGGGCATCAGCCGAAGCCCTCAAATCTCTGTATCAAACCCCTACAGCTGACTTGATTTGCAGATCCATTCCTTGCCGATATGTTAGTGCTGAGGCAGACCATACTGTTCTTGAAATAAGAAACCTGCAGACAACTACTGTTTCATAACTAGCACAAAGCAACCTCTACATCCTGCAGTGGAGATATTTTGTTGTGTCACTGTAGTACAGTATCTGCACAGTCCAGTTTTGTGTTTGAGTTTAGTCAGAGCCATGATAAACAACAGAATATTTTTACTTCTTGTAAACATTACTATAAGTCTTGTTAAGGTAAGCCTGAAGGTAGTTGTATTAAGAAGACAGAGGAACTAGGAAATATAAGTCGTTTTCATGTTAGCGGAGTAGCGGTATATAATCAAAGTAGGATATATGAAAAAATAACGAGATTTTTTTTACAAATGTAGCATGAGCACACATTGCTTTGCATCTTATAACACAACCAAGCCTTAAAAATACACTCTGGACCACCCCTTTAAGATCACAAGAGGACAAAGAAGACACATTACGGTTCACACCTTGTATTTAAACGTGTCTCTTTTGTCCAATTTCTAACTACTTTTAACCTCTTTGATGAGGGAGGGTCTGTGGGCTGGCATTGGCCTTTTCTGCTCTACTGTATCAGTCAGACCCCCTAGATTTGCAATTCCGCGATCGCGGAATCCAACGCAAAATCAACAAGAAATAAAAATGTAGAAAATAATGACAAAAATATTCGCAAAAAATGTAAATAATCTCATAAAACAATTAGATTTATTTCAGTTTGCAATTTATTGTTTTATGTGACTTATAGACATTTCATATGCAGCGCATGTGATGCATTTGAGTGTCTCTCGAAAAATTACATTTCACCTGTGCATTACATTACTTACATTACTCTCACAATCATTAAATTGCATGGAAATGGGTGGAATTAGTTTGCAGCCTACGCATTAAGCAGACGCAGATGAAGTGCGTGTGATTTACATGTGAAGTCAATGCAAAGATTGGATTAGGCATCCTGTGGCGCAAATTGGGTGTTTTATGCTTTGACGTGCTTCAGACTGCAAAAGAAAGTTTGAGTAAACATCTAACAAATGGAGCAATGGAATAGACAGAACAGCGAGCAGCTTACATTGATGGAGATTGGTTCAAGGATGAGGGCCGCTGGATGTGACCGAATTGAAGGACATTAATTGTTCTTTACATGTATGGCTGGTATTATGATGTGCATAAATCCATAAATGTTTTAGTTTGACTCTTTTCCTGCACAAAATCCACAAAATTAGTAGTTACCGAACTGGTGTATGTGTGGTGTATAAGTTGTCCAGATGATCAGTGATGACGAGATTCAGCTGTGTGTGAGACATTGGTGGAAAACAGCAACCGGTGGGTGTGAAGCGGCATGATGGGAATTTTAGTTTTGTTAGTGTGATATGTGTAGTTTACCAGGGATCTGCCAGGAGTGGTTCGCTGGTGATCATGACAATTACAGGGTTACTCAACATCCATTACTCACATCCAGCACATCAGGATTAATTTTGTGGCCTGTGTTGTGTTGAAGATGGATGTATTTTTTTTATAAATTGAGCTAAAAAAAAGTAACATCATTTACATGCAGTGAATACTTTTATTTTTTATTCATCCTTATTTGCTTAGTGCTTTTACAATGTAGATTGTGTCAAAGCAGCTTAACATAGAAGTTCTAGTAAACTGAACCTGTGTCAGTCCAGTTTTCAGAGATTAAGTTCAGTTTAGTTCAGTTCAGTGTGGTTTAATTTTTACTGCTGAAAGTCCAAACACTGAAGAGCAAATCAATCGATGCACAGCTCCACGCGTCCCAAACCATGCAAGCCAGTGGCAACTTCCACAAAGACTGTAGAATACACTTAAAAAAGGGACTTGAAGGGCCATAAAAGGGACTTTGCTTCCACACACCATAAGAGAAATGAAATTTTCTCTTTAGTGGCATTTATCTTTGCTAAGCAACCTGTCAGCTGAGCTTGTTGCTGGGTGCTGTGGATAATGTGCAAAGGTTACTCTCATAGAAAATGTATAGCATGTTAAAGACTCGTTATGATAGTCTCACCTAGTGTGCTACAGACTTTACACTTTGCATTGTACAAATGGCAGGTGGTCCTCTTAGCAACGTGAAAAACAACCATATTACAATTGTAAAGGTCAAAAAATGCTCCAATAGCAGTATATGGAGCTGTCGTCATGTCAGAGTACATGGAGCTACACTAGTAAAAGCTGGCTGAGCTCCGAAGTAAACCTCTTACTAGCATTGTTTAATAATTGTATGATTGTTTTAAAAAAAATGACAACTTCGACCCTGAGCAAAGTGAACCAAATAAAGAAAATCGATTTGTGTTATGGTACAGGATTAATAAATGATTAAATATTAAAGTTTTATATTTTAATGAAGTATAAATAGCATTTCATAAATCTAATTTGCAGTCAAATACAGTATTTATTTATTTATTTATTTATTTATTTATTTATTTATTTGCAAAAGAAAAAGAATAAACAAATCAGGACTGGTAGAACATTTTGCTTGATTTTTTTTTTCTCCAAAACAAACCTAATATTATCAGTGACAAAGTTTAAATGTGTCTCTTCAACATGATTCTACAGCATGTCCTGCTGCTTATAAATGAGCTCAGCTGGCAGAGAGAAGCCAATCTTTAGCAGCTGTTTGAATCATGTGTGTTCGCACTACAAGAGCAATCCGGTCTAATGCGTTTTCGGACACCTCTGGATGCGGTCGAAAGTGAAAAAGCTCAAAACATTTCACACCCTATTCACAACTGCACTTAGCATCTGTCCCACTTGGGATGTTGAAAATGGGTGTCAACAGGGCCTAAGATTCAAGAAAATTGGAATCAGTAAGGTTTTTCTTATATCTACATATTTCTTCACCAAGAATATATAAAAAATGAGTTTTATTCACAAATATGTTAATTATCCATTAAACGTTTTTGACTATCTGTATATAATGAAGAAACCTATAGTGTCTGTAAAACCACTTTTTTAAAAAAAATAGCAAATATACTGTCATATATTGATAATAAGAAATCTTCAAATTGGCATTATTTCTAAAGGATCATATGGCTTTATATAAAGGAACCGTTCACCAAAAAAATATATAATGTGCTCACTATTTATTCCCACTCAAGTGGTTTCCATACTTCTATGAGTTTGTTTTTTCTTTTAACATAAAATTTTTATTTTTAATGATGATGTAAAGCAGTACCGATTGACATCCACAATATGAAAAAAATTCTATTATTGACTTTATTCTCCAATGTGGAAATGCGTTCATTTTTGTGGTTGCAAACTTCTGATTCAGTTTCCTTTGGAAGAAATGACTAGGAATAAAAAACTGCTGAAAGAGGTCAAACTACTTGCTCTACAAACAAGTGTGTTCATGACTATATATAAAAAGTAGATTAATAAAATAAGAAAATATCAGTTTGCAGCATCAAGCAGCATAAAAAAAATTTTTATGCCTAAAAATTAATGCAAATGAAAGAGACTGGAATTCTCAAACCAAAAAGATTCAAATGTCTGCACTCGCGCATACACGAAGAATACGGTGAATAGAAGGGTTACCGGTTTCTTTAAAATGTATTATTTTCTGTTCAACGGAAGTAGCTAAAAGAGGTTTGGAACAAGTAGTGGGTGGGTGAATAAAAAAAAGAGTAGCGAAATCGCTGCTGACAATTTCTAAACTTAATAGTTTTAATAACTCATCTCTAATGACTTATTTATTTTACCCTTGCCACGATGAACAAATTCAAAGGGGGACTAATAATTCTGATTTGAACTGTATTACAATGGAAACTCTATTGTAAAACTTTAATAGAAGTAATATTTAAATAGATATTATTCAATTGTGAAAATGTTTTACAAAGTTACTGTTTATGCTGTATTTTGATCAAATAAACACAGTTGCTGAGCAAGAGACCTTTCAGAAACATTTATAAGTCATAACATCCCCAATCTTTTTAACTTTCATAAAAGAGAGTGATCATTAATTAATGAAAGTTTTGAATTTTAATGTTTAAAAGTAACTTTGTGGTGTCAGCGCTGTTCTGTAAATGCACCAGTGATTTTATGTTAGATATTAAATGTCATGTGATGTCTGTAGCTGTTAGGAAGCTGCGTGTCAGCAATCTCAAAAATGAAGGGGTGTTTATTATTTATTACCCATTTATAAATATGTTTTTTTTTTCTAAAGCTCTAGCTACTGAATGCAGACTTCATATAAGGATGTGAGGAAGTGAGAAGCTGTCAGAAATGTCACTTCATGTCAGGAACGTACATCTGACACTTCTATTGTAGTGAGGATGTTGACTCATGCGTGAGAAATGCTAACAAAGAGATTGAGTTAATGCTGAGTGAGCTGAGTGTATTGGGTAATTTTAACAAAACACACACACATACCTTATTTTTCTTTCTTTCTTTCTTTCTTTCATTCTTTCTTTCTTTCTTTCTTTCTTTCTTTCTTTCTTTCTTTCTTTCTTTCTTTCTTTCTTGACCAGTTTTTTTTTTTTACAGCCTAACCAACAACTAGTTTTATTCTTTTAGTATTTTAAAATTGATTCTGTCAACATCCATTACCTTTTTTTTAATCTTTGTAATTTCTAAAAGAACGTGCCCTGGTCTTTTCACAGCATGATCTGCTAATTTAAATCGTATTAATCTATACACCAGAAATTACATCTGAAAATGGATTAAAAAGCTTCAAGGGGATTAAATAATTGCTGCACTGGATTACCTTTTCATCATATTCACTTGTTCATCAAAAGCTGCTGTAATTTTAATTGCATTAAAATTTGCTTGGGTAATACTACATTGTTTTTAGTACAATAGTCAGTTAAAGGGGGTCAGATTACTTGTTGCTGTGTGGCGTGTTTG